ACACACACACACACCAATTAATAGTAGGACAATATAAGAACTAAACTCTTAAGTCTTTGCCTTGGAAATATTCTGGAATCAGATAGCTCTTTTTCTGAATATTAAAATAAAAAGCTCAGTAGTAGAAATAACAGTTCTGTGTCAAAAAAGAAAAATGAGCACAGGGAATTAGGAGAGCCAAGTCATTGATTTTACTAATGTAAGAAGTAGCTCAAGATTTAACTCTGTGTATTCAAGTAATGGCTTTGAAAAATATGAGTGCTGCCCTGGAAAATTTCCAAAGCCGCCCCTTCCTTTCTTTCTTTCTTTCTTTCTTTCTTTCTTTCTTTCTTTCTTTCTTTCTTTCTTTCTCTCTCTCTCTCTCTCTCTCTCTCTCTCTCTCTCTCTCTCTCTTTCTCTCTTTCTTTCTTTCTTTCTGGTTTGTTGAGATAGGTTTCTCTGTGGCTTTGGAGCCTCTCCTGGAACTAGCTCTTGTAGACCAGGCTGGCCTCGAACTCAGAGATCTACCTGCCTCTGCCTCCCAAGAACTGGGATTAAAGGCATGTGCCATTACCTCCTAGCTTCCAAGGTCTCTTTTAAGATGTAAAATTCTATAACCATTCTATTTAAAAGGCCTTATGATAGAATTTGGAATTTATTTAATTTATGTATTTATTTCTGTGTTTGCCCACATGAGTTTGTGTACTATGTATGTAAGAAACCATAGAGGCCAGAAAAGGGTATCAGATCCCCTAGAACTAGAGGTACAGGGGATTATGGAGCTGTCCTAAGAGTCCTGGAAACCAAATCCAGGCCCTCTGCTGTTTGAGGAGGCTGCTAGTTTGTTCCCAACTGCTCAACAGCAAAATAATCACACAGAAACCATATTATTTGGAATACTGTTTGACCAATAGCTTAAGTGAATCTCTGGCTAACTCATCTTAATTTAACCCATTAATCCGTGTATTACTACAAGGCTGTGGTTTAGAGGGTAAAAGTCCAGCTTCTGTCTTTGGTGGAGCTACATGTGTTCTCACTGACTCCGCCTTCTTTCTGCCAGCATTCAGTTTAGTTTTCCCCACCTAACTCTGTTCTGCCCTGCTCTGCTATAAGCTCAAAGCAGTTTCTTTATGAACCAATGGCATTCACAGCATACAGAGAGGAATCCCACATCACCTCCCCTTTTCTGTTTATAAAAAGTAAGGTCTTAACATAGTAAAATTACATATAACAAAGCAGCTATCAAGTAAGAATTATATTTACAATTTTTATATCTATTTTATCTTTTATCATAGCTAAGGAAAACTATCACTACATATTCTTCAACTCCATTACAGACTCCAAAACGATACAATATTACCTAAGTAAACAGAAAATGCATTATAACAACTTCCAAAACTCTAGAATTGACAGAGACATCTTGCTGCCAGGACAGTCAACCAAAGTTCTTCTGTATCATTGGGGCATCCATCTTCAGCCTACAGGCCCATACTATCCAGCAGACTTTCCCATGAAGCAGGAAGTTCCAAAGACAGTTGTGCCTATATTGGCAGATTGTAAGTCACTTTCTTCTGTGTCCTGCAGAATGTCTGGCAGACTCTTTCATGAAGCAAGAACCCTGAAGTAAAGTCTCACCTTTAAGCAAGTACAGCAATCATTTCTCTGTGGGTCCTGCATGTCCAGTTTATACAGTATACCATTAAGCAGCACAGGCAAGAACAGTCCCTTGCCCAAATGGCTAGTAAACCAATGCCCATCTTCCTCTTGATGTAACTGGTTCTGCCAGGAGCAGATGTGTCTCACTGTCATGAAAAGTCCTACATTCTTAAAACATTTTAAATGTCATATTCTGAAGGTCTCTGGAAGTTTTGAAGGCTATCTAACTGAAATTTATTTCTATGTATCTAGAAAACCTAACTAACATGATTGACTAATATAGATGATTATCTATTAACCTATATTTCTTAATTACACATTACATATTTAAATGAGTTGCAGAAACACAATACCTTAATCTAGAGCAGAAATACACATATAACAAAACTGACCTTAAATTTATATCAATAAACCAAGATCAATATCAATGCATATTATTCATCTCTATAGAATATCTCCCCTTTAAATGTAAATAAACATTTATAAACAATATTTGGGAATTTGGGCATAGTTCTCTCCAAAATGCTTCCTGCTTTTTGTTGGATGAAGTAATTTTTTGGGGTGTTTATAGTGACCTTACAAGGGGTCTTGGTCCATCAAACCACATTAGTCTGGAAGGATTCCATAGGTTCTCCTCCTTTGTGGAAATAAAAGAAGAACTTGTTTTCCAAAGCAACATATCCTTAGACCCAAATTTGGAACTCAAGAAACCTTTAGAATATATATGTTGGTTTAGCTTAGAAGCCCATAAGCTAATGAAATGTCTCTGTACTTAGTTCATTTACAATCAAAAAATTCAAAGAAAACACAATAATGTACATAATCAACTCTCAGTGTATATTCCATCTTTACGTAGCTTATTTTTCTTTATTCCTATTACTTTTTCTACAAGTTTACTCTGTATCTTTAAAGACATTATTTATTTTTTTAAAAACCATTTATTTCTTTTTATAACTCTCTGTACTCTTTTACTTCTTTTTCCCAAGCCTACGTACATTTATCAAACATTGTGATCCAGTTAGAGGTCTTTCCCATCTGGATTTGTCTTTATTGCATATCTGTAATTATTTTCTGACCGGAAGTGCTTCTTAAAATGCTAAGTTTCTTTAATAAGACTAAGGCTGCTTTTCCTTTTGGTGCCCCCCAGTCTAACATGGCAGGGTGGAGGTCTGTTTAGCATGAGCAATGCTCACAGCCCCAGTTTTCAGGCACACAGCAGGTCTATGCTGCCATTAAGCAAGTTGGAGCACTCTGCTCACAAACCCCATTTAAATGCTCCATAGTCATACCTCCCAAAAGAGTCAGAGTTTATGTTGACAGCACAGTCTGGCAGGGAAGCTGTTGTTTCAAAACCATAAAGCTTTTTTTCTGCTACCACTGAATCAGGAACACCTTTTTCTTTTCTTTTCTTTTTCTTTTTTTTATTTTTTTTTTGAGTACTGACATTATTTTTAACCCTTTCTTTTTATTGCTTTTTTTTCTTTTTTTAAATTCAATTTGGCCTTTTCTACTTCTATTTCTCATGTAGATTAGATCTATGTGAGTCTCTCTTAGTGTCCTCACTGTTATCTAAGTTCTCTGGGATTGTGTTTTATAGGCTATTTTTCTTTGCTTTATGTTTAAAAGCCACCTATGAGTGAGTACATGTGATAATTGTCTTTCTGTAGAAAGGAGCCAGTGTTAAGCCGTGGTTAACTCTGCTTTTGTGTGTGTGTGTGTGTGTGTGTGTGTGTGTGTGTGCGCGCGCGCGCGCGCGCACGCGCACATGCCTAGAATTCCTTCCCAAGCTCTCTTAGATTTTAAGTGGGTTTTCGTTGGTCACATTGGTGCACCAATTTGTTGTAGGAGGCTACTAGTTTGCTTCCAGCTGCTCAGCCACTAAATAATCACACAGAAACTGTATCATTTGCAATATTGTTTGGTCAATAGCTTAAGCATATTCCTAGCTAACTCATATCTTAATTTAATCCATCTCCATTAATCCATGTATCACCCAAGGCTGTGGCTTACAGGGTAAAAGTCCAACGTATGTCTCTGGAGTGGCTACATGTCTTCTCACTGACTCCACCTTCTTTCTGTCAGCATTCAGTTTACTTTTCCCCACCTAGCTCTGTTCTTCTATATGCTCAAAGCAGTTTCTTTATTAACCAATGGTATTCATAGCATACAGAGTGGAATCACACATCACTCTACAAGAGATGTAAGCTATCAGAGCCATCTCTCCAGCAACCATAAATAAAATAGTAAAACACTGATTCAGAGAACTCTGTCTTCAAACTACAAATTTTCTAAATAGTACAAGTATTTCTTTCAAAATACATTCCTCATGACCAGAAATGATAGCATACACCTGTATCTCAACACTGGGAGGCTGAGGACTTGAGTATGAGGCCAGCATGGACTACATAACCAACACTTCGCATTGAACAGAGAAAGAAAAAACAAAAAACAAACAAACAAAGACTCAGAACTCCATTACATTAATCAAAAGAATAGCATGTTTTTGTTAAGTCCTTCATAGTCTAGTTACATAAAATTACAAAGAATGCAGCTAAGATGTGTTAGTATATACTTCATCTAGGCCCATAATAGGTATATTTCTTTAGTGCAGTTTATAATACTTAATTATCAAAGTAAGCATCTCTATGAGTCACCAGATCTTATCTTCTATTTCTCTGACCTGGTGTTTCTAACTAGAAGAACCAGGACTGGGAGAACTAAAAAGTAGGTAAAAGCCCAAGGAGCTTAAGACTGAGGATTTGCACAGTTCTAAAATGGAAAATCTCATGTAAAAAGGGTCTTCATAAAATATTCTTACTTCAGAAATTTCCACAAACAAAGACTTTTGTTAGAATATCCATGAATATCAACAAAACAATCCAATTTCACCTTAGTAAACTTACATGCACCTAAAGCAGTAGTTCTCAACCTTTCCAATATTGCAATCTTTAATACAGTTCCACAAGCTGTAGTGAAACCCATGAAAAATAATAATATTTTTGTTGCTACTATATAATAGTAACTTTGCCACTGTTATGAATCTTAATGTAAATACTTTTGAAGGTTTGTTAAAGGAGCTGTGACCCACAGGTTGAGAACTGCTGATCTCAAAGGTTTCTTTCTTTAGATCAAGAGGCCTGAGACACAATAAAACTAGTACTACACTTTACAAGTTGACTTATAACTATAAATATCTAAAAGGAATAGACTCAGATACTTTTAAACAACAAGAAACGCAAAACAAGAAAAAGAATTGAGTCTAATTCTTCAATTAAAAATGTTAAACTCATTAAATCTGAAAGGGCTTTATAAAAGGAACACAGAGAAAAACTACAAGGAAATAAAGGGCAACTGCTTGAACTTACTGGGTTATCTGTGGAATCATCAGCCAACTGTAAACCAAAATAGTCTCGCTCAGTCAAATCAAGATGCTTGAAGACTATATCCAACAAAACTTGCCCCTGATCATGTTTCTGGAAGAAAAATAATACAAAACCATCTTTATAGTGTGTTTATGCTTTTTCTTTCTCCCTTTTCCTTTTTGAGACAAGTCTCACAAAATAGCCCTGGCTGGCCATGAACTCACAAAGATTCACCTGCCTCTGCCGCCCAAGAACTAGGATTAAAGGTATGCACTGTATGTTTTTAACCTTGCATAACTTTTTGTTCTTTTTAACTACAATGGCCATTGTTTTTACACTAATGACTTCGTTGAGAATAAAGTTTGACATGTGAATACTTTTTAAGGAAAACTGGTCATAGAGAAAATAATAAATTTGAAGATAAGAATCTTTTGATTGAAAATGTCTCCTGTAGGCTATTATGGTATTTTTGTTATTATATAGCTGCCACAATAATTTATGTATGTCTATATATGTATGTATGTGTATATGCATACATGTCTATGCTATCTCTCTATGCCTTTTATTTTTACACTATATGACTAAAAAGGTGACTACAGTTTAAAATACAGCTTTGAATAGAAGTCAAAAAATCAGCAGATGGAAAAACTTTACAGGAAATTTGAGAAAGGCCTTTGATTTGACAGAACAAAACATTACAATTACATACAGAATTTTAGAAAATATATAACTTTAACCTTTGCAAATCAGTAATGTAGACATTATTCTCCCCATGTTCCACAGCTACTAAATATGGTACAGAAGAAATGATTGAATAATTTACTGAATAATGAACAAAAATAATAGATAAAACAGAAATTAACATGTTTATCAATAATAATAGAAATTAAAATGAGAAGTCACAATGACATGCCATGAGTAGATAGCAAAAAACAAAATCCAATGAGTAAGATAAAAATAGTTATTTACCTATAGAACTATGAAATGATATAATTTGTAGGGAAAAAATTAGAAAACTGTGTGTGCATGCAGAAGTATCCAACTGTGTGTGTGTATGTGGAAGCACCTATCTGTGTGTGTGCATGTGGAATCACCCATCTGTGTGTGTGTGTGCGCACATGTGGGAGCATCCTTTTGTGTGAGTGCATACGGAAGTACCCATCTGTGTGTGTGCATGCAGAAGGACACATCTGAGTATGTGCATATGGATAATCAGAGGTTGATGTCAGCTAACTCCTCTATTGTGCTCAATATCTTTTTAATAATTTTACATTATTTTTACATTTATCTATGTGTGTCTATACAAGTGCACATGTACATGCTGAAGCACATATGTGCAGGTAAGAATTGAAATTTCAGGAGTTAGTTCTCTCCTTTCACCATGCGAGATGCAGAAACTAAACTCAGGTGGTCAAGACTGTCAGCCTGTACCTGCTGAGCCATCTCACTTGTCCCTTTCTAATTTTTGAGTCAGGATCTATCACTGAACCCATAGTTCATTATTTAAGATAGCCCTGGATGGTCAGAATCCTAGTTCCCTAGGATCCTCCCGTCTCCATACCCCAGCATGGAGTTACAGACAGGTGCGGTTATGCTAGCTTTTAATATGAGTACCGAGGATCTAATTTCAGGCTCTTACATACTTTCCATACTTGCACACTTTACTTCCAAGAGCCAGCTCCCCAGACTAAATTTCTAAGTATTAAGCAAAAACAGTAACTCTATCAACTATTTCAGGTATACCTGAATAACAAAACAAAGTCTAATATTGAAAGAAATAGCTTAAACACATCAATGTGTTCACTAGAAAACATAGTATGGTATATTTTACTATTATTTCCTCTCATTGGCTATAGTAGTTAGAAAGATTCTAAATAAAGTTAGAAGCAATCACAAAGCAGAAAGGACTTTTTTTCCCCCCCATAATATAAAGTATAAAGGTAGAACAGATTCCAGAGCTAAATAAATCAGCCAATGAGAGGCAATCAAGAACTAAGTTCCCTTCCTTCTGCCTCACCTACATTCCAGGGCTGGCAATATTTGTTGGCCTTTAACAATTTTATCAGCAACTCCAAGATCCATACCCATACATGATAGCATTCAAGATAACAAACATTTTCTAAAGTTACTGCACAAAGAGACTATACAACATTTCTTATTGGTCAAAACTGCATCAATGGAAAAAAGTATGTGCTTCAAAAGGCACTACTCAATACTGGTGCCCATTTGGTTACCTGTATTAAAACAAAATTAAATACTGCTGCAATCTCCACTCCCCTCTTCCCATTCTGATTAGTTGGTCTTAATGGCTAATAGCGAGGCAGGAACAAGGACAGGCAGGGCTGGGAGGCAGAGAATATAAATAGAAGGAGAAATGAGGAAAGGAGGGAGCAAGATAGAACAAGGAGAGGAAGACATCAGGAGTCAGCACTCAGCTACACAACAAGCCACTGAGAAAGAAGTAAAGAAAGGTATATAGAAACAAGGAAAGATAAAGGCCCAGAGGCAATAAAGAGGGAAAAATTTAAGAAAAGCTGGTGAGAAACAAGCCAAGCTAAGACTGGACATTCGTAACTAAGAATAAGCCTCCATGTGTGATTTATCTGGGAATTGGGTGCTGGTTCCCCCAAAACAACAAAGACCAAAGAGTAAAAAGCCAAAAGAGTAAAAACATCACAATACAGAAGGTAACTGATTATGGGTGAGGGGAAAAAAAAAAGAACACATCAAGATTGTTGTGTTTCTATATGTATCTGTGTGGATGTATATATGAGAACTGTAACAATTTCCAAAACCTTAGTAACTGTATACATGTATTGCACTGTGATTTAATTAAAAATTCACCTGAAGTTCAAAAAAAAATTACAGTGTTCCTGTCTTGATTAGTCAACAGATTCCTGGTACTTCCATTTGCTGATTTAAAAAAAATAACATGAACACTGCAGTCCAAAAAAGAAGACCAGTTTCAAAAACAATGAGCTTTGAAAGAATAGAAGGAAGACTTAACAAACACAACTAAGAGTAGTAAGATGACTCGACAGTTAAGAACACTCACAGGCTGCTCTTGCAAAGGACCTGTATTCAGTCCCCCACACCCACATGATGGCTAACAACCACCTCCTAACTCCAGTTCTAGGGGATTAGAAGTCTTATTCTGGCCTTCATGGGCACTAATGCAAATGTTGCACATAAATACATATAGACCAAACATTCAAACATATTAAATAAAAATAATCTTTGAAAGAGAACCCTGGACTGGGGCGTGGTTTCCACTGGATCTCTTTGTCCCTCTTACTAATGTGGCCACATTGAAAAAAATGAGGGTTCTTTATTTAAAAAAACAAATGAAAAAAAACCCAATCTACTCGTTTCTTGCTTTATTAACTTTCTGTTGTCCACAACACAATAAAACAGATCGGGTAAAATTAACCCAAAAGACCTTGATTTTGACTTATGGTTCTGAAAGTATTAAGTAAAGGGACCACATAGAATGACACCATTCTTGCGGGTAGTGTGTAGAGGTCATGTAGGCATCACAAGAGACAGAAAATGTGTAATTTTTATGGTTCAGATATGAAACACCATCCTGAGGTGCATATGTTGAAGAGGTAGTCCTCGGCTGGGGGTACTATTTGGGGAGTGATGTGGGATTTCCTTCTGTAAGCTGTAAATATGTTTTATTACCATTAGTTAATAAAGAAGCAGCTTTGGCCTATGGCAGGACAGAATAAAGCTAGGAGGGAAAACTAAATGCAGGGGGAAAAAAGGGCAGAATTCAGGAGAAGCCATGTAGTTGCTGAAGGAGAAAGATGCCAGAACCTTACCAGCAGGCCACAGACTCGTGGTGATACATATATTAATAGAAATGGACTAATTTAAGATGTAAGAGTTAGCTAGGAATACAGCTAAGCAATTGACTAAACAGTATTGTAATTAATATAGTTTCTTTGTGATTATTCCGATCTGGGTGGCCAGAAAACAAACAAGCAGTCTCCGCTTACAGGGGAGGTTCTGGAAACTTTAGGAGGTGAAAGAAACAAGGTCACTGGGAGCCTGAAGGTGGTGCACGCCTTTAATCCCAGCAGTGGGAAGCAGGAATCCTTCCTGTCTTTCTGCTTCATGATTTCCATGAAGAAAGCAACTTTGTTCTAATACAGATCCCATTATGATATTCTGCCTAACCACAGCCAAGAGATGATGGAACCAAAATAAGTCCTTTCTCTGTTTTTTTTTTTCTTTCTGGGTTTAATAGCTGTGAAAAGCTAACACAGAAAATTGGAAGCAGAAAAGTGCAGTAGATGTGGAAATTACTAACCATAGAGTTCTAAAGCATGTGGGATTCATTTAAGGGAGAAATGTGGGAAAATTTAGTGATAAAAGCTGAAAAAGTCAAAGCAAGGAATATTTAAAGGTATGAGAAGGCTAACAGGAATACAGGCAGTAAGCATCAGCTTTATGAGGTTTCAGATGAAAATAAAGATCTATAAGGAAAAGGACTAAAGGCCATTCATGTTACAGGGTGATAAAGTACTTGCATTTTGTCTGTGCACTGAGATTTCTGAAAACTAGAATTTAAAGACAATGCATTAATTAATCTAATGGAGGAAATCCAGCACTCAAGCTATGTTACAGTCATTGCTAGCTGTTTCGTTATTTGTTTTTTGTTTGGTTTGGTTTTTCAAGACAGGGCTTCTCTGGAGCTTCGGGGGCCTGTTCTGGAACTAACTCTTGTAGACCAGGCTGGCCATGAACTCACAGAGATCCGCCTGCCTCTGCTTCCCAGTGCTGGGATTAAAGGCATGCACCACCACCGTCAGGCTATTGTAGTTTTTTGAAGCAAGGAACAAAACAGGAAGATTAGAAAAATATGTAGTTTGGCTAGAAAATCATGTAGTTTGGCACTTAAACTTTCTGACAATAAGGTTGTGGTTGGAAAAAAACAAACAAACAAACAAACAAAAACACTGGAGTCATTAAAGAAAGCCAAGTTTTGTACCAGGAAAAGAAGACATTCCTTGATGATCTTATAGATAACAGTGAGATTACCTATCATTTATACCAGGGCCGAGAATATAAAGGTATAAACTCATTGGAGAAGATTTCCCATTAAG